AGAAACAAAGATCTGAGTATCACATGTTCTCACTCATATAGTGGACCTTGAACATCTACCATAATACTATAAAAAAAGGATTGACAGTGGTAGGAAACCATGAGGGGGCAGGGAGGGAAAGGGAGGTGGGATTAATGGTAGTCAATATCTGTCTGGGGATGGGGAGACACCCCTTATTAACAAGGGTGCCTGAACAATCCACATTTGTATACCTAACCCTTAACTGTACCCCACTATTTTAAAATAAAAAATATATATTTTTAAAAAATGGCACTTGGCTTCTGTGCCCCAGGAAACACTAGGGACCAAGCAGAGCAGCTATAGCACCAGTCGCTTCACCAGGAGAGCCCTGTACACTTGTTCCCGAGTCCCTACTCAGTCAGCCACTCATATGTCCACTTACCAACACATACATAACATTTTCCATACTCTCACTCACTCACACTGGAATTTGCTTAGTCTACCTGGCTCCACCAATATCTTACTAAGCTACCTGGCATTTTTTTCTTATTGATTTATAATTATTTCATATTCTGGATACAAATTTTTAATTTCCTCTTTACAAAGATTACCAGGAAAGATGAATTAACAAGTGTACTTTGATTTATTAAATAAGAATATTTTAGAAAAGTTAAATGCAAATCATTTGTGGTTATGTGCTTTGCAAATATCTTCTCCAAGTCTGTGACTTTATCTTTCACTGGAAGTGCTTCTGTTTTATGAAATTTAAAAATATTAATGTAGTTAAACTTATTTATACATTTTTTTCTTGTTTATGAAATTCTTCACTACCTTAGTATCATATCTGTTTATATCTGCTGTCTGGAATTCACCTTTGTCCACGGTATCGGGTGAGAGTACTAATTATTTTCATGTGGGTAGTTAATTTTCTTTTTTTTTTTTTGAGTTGAGAGTCTCACTCTGTCACCCAGACTGGAGTGCAGTGGCCGCTCCCGGCCACCGCAGCCTCGACCTGCTGGGCTCCAGCGATCCTTCTGCTTCAGCCTTCTGAGTAGCTGGAATTACAAGCACGCGCTACCATGCCTGGCTGATTTTTTGATTTATTGTAGAGATGAGGTCTCGCCAAGTTGCCAGGTGGGTCTCAAACCCGCGGGCTCAGGCAATCCACTCACCTCAGCCTCCCAAAGCGCGGGATTACAGGCTGAGCCACCGAGCCCGGCTGGGTAGTTAATTTTCTCTGCAACATTTATTAAGGTGGTATTTTTTCTCCACAGATCTGAAATGCTATCCTTATGATTTACCTTCCAATCATGTATTCATGGGTTCATTTCTGGGTTCTCTAGACTGTTCTGTGGGAGCACCTCAGCCTGGTTTGAATTTCTGTTAATTTATGGCAAATCTTGATATATGGTAGGAGATATTTTCATTTATCGGCTATTCTTAGTTCTTTACTGTTCTATAAGAATTTTAGAATCTGCTTGTCAAATTCCCTAAAAATCCCTAGTGGAATTTTGATTGAAATTGCATTTAATTTATATGTTAATTGGGGGAATGTTGATGTCTTCATGACATTGATTCCTTGCTGAACTTTGGAAGAGCTCTAGCTCTGTTTATTTAGATCTTCTTCTGAATCCTTCAATAAGGTTTTTAATTTTCCCTGTATATGTCTTTCACCATCTTTCATTAGATTTATTTCCAAGTATCTTGTAAGTGGGATTTTACAAATAGACATGTAATTGGTTTTTGCTGATATTTAAAAAGATGAATGATTTCTGTATACTGATATTGCATTAATCTTGCTGACCTTTATAAAAGATACACCTAGTCTGTAGATTAGCCTGTGTTTTCTATGTAGAAAAATGTATTGTTTGTAAGCATTAACTTAAAAAGATTTCAATCCCCTGCTTTCACTTTCTTTTCATTATTGTTCTTGCAAAAGCCTCCAGTATGGGGCGGAAGAACCTCAGTAAGAACTGGTTTTTGTATCTTGTTCCTAACTTTCAAAAAGAGTATTTTCAGTTTCTCATTGTTAAGTATAATGTTTGCTATGGGATTTTTGGTAATGCTAAGCAAGTTTCTTTCTATTCTCAGTTGATGAAGAACTTTTACCATCACATCCATCATATTGGATTTTTTATTAAATGCTTTTCTGCACCTATTGAAATAATTGTGTTTTTCTTAGTGTGTTAAATTGTGATAATGGATTTTCTAATATTAAACTATCCCTGAATTTCTAGAGTAAACCTACTTTGCCCATTACGTATTTATTAATGCATTGCTGCATTCATTTTGCTAATATCCTGCTTATAATATTTGAACCAATGTTCATAAGTGAGCTTATATCCTTCCCCATTGTGTTTCTGGTGTTTTGCATCTGGGCTATATTAGACATATACAATGCTTTTGGACTCATATGCTATTCTTGATTTTTAAAAGTTTACAAAAATTTTAAATGATCTGTTCTTTGTATTTTAGTAGAAGCTTACAGTTGTATTTCTTGCAGGTGTCTATTCCTCTCCCACAGGCCTCACTGGTCCTTCAGCCTTTACCACTTTCAACCCATCTAGACATCCTGGGGGAAGTCACTGAAATAATGAATCATTGACTAAGCTAGGTGGTTGGGGATGGGGAGTAGGAAGCTATTCCCCATTCAAGGCTGCAAGAAGAAACAGTACAGATAATTGAAGGCTATAAGAAAGGGAGGTGAGCATCTCATCTTTTGACTAGGTAGAGCCTGCCTCCAGCCTGCAGAACTGAAAGGATAGGAAGTGGCCTGGAGAAGGCTGGAGCGGAAGAATCAAGAAGGAGGGCATTGGCGGAAAGAGCTTGCACATCAAGCATTTTTCATGACAAGTATTTGTGAATATCCCATAGGCCAAGTAGATATGGTAAAAGGAGCTGACTTGAGGGATACTGCCCAAGAAAGTGACAGCAAGAAGAGAATGTGGTGTGGATTATCAGTGGCAGAAGTTGAAGAGTGATCACAGAAGGACCAATTAGGAAGTAAATTGACCACCTCGACAGAGAACAGTACACTTGGAGGGTTCCTGTAGTATCTCCCAGAATAACCAAGGGGTTCGCAGGAAGAGAGAGCCAGCATCTGGGCATTGGCCCTAGAGAGGGTAGCAACAGACAGGTTATAACAGCAGTGGTTATATAAGTGACATTATCCTCCTTCTCCCCATTTATCCTCCCATGCCCCAAATTCTGAAGACAGGAGGAACCTCAGAGGCTCAGTATCTAGGGATAAGGGGACAAGAAACAGATGAACCATGAGGGATAGGAGTAGAGGGTATCCCTCTTCCCATGCTCACCCTGATCTTGAATAGGGTAAGGGGAGAGAGAGATTTGGAGAGGAAGGTAATGGCTTTGATTTGAATTTTAAATCTGAAGTTTTATTTAAACTGTAGACTTTTTAATGCCTGAAAGTGAGTGTTAGCTGAGATGAAGACTGTTCTTGAAAATGATTGTAGGACTCTGGAATCTGCTCATGGGTGGGGAGAAAGGTCTGAGAGAACAGGTTTGGGGGCAGTGCTTGAAAACAGAGTTCTTTTGTTCATGCTCTAATGAGTTTACTCTGTTTCATCAGCCAATTACATACTTTTGCATGCATTTTGCCTTTGGAGATTTATGTTATTTAGCTAATATTTCTGATAGTTTGTCTTAAGTAACATCACTTTTATGTTTATTATTATAATCAATATGCATGGGATCAAAATGAACCAATTAGTCACTTTCCAGGAAAAAATTTAAATGGGAATAAAACCAATTATTGCAGTGATCATTAGCTATAATATTGTAGAATATTATGGAAACCCTTCATAGATTATTTTTTCAATATCATAAAGAACTATAGCTGTATGGCAATATTTCAGTAATTTGCATTATTTTACTTATTAAAATATCTAGTTGCATTAAGGAATCTAAGCAGAATTGTAATCTGTGTTCTATTTATGCTATATAAATTTCATACACTAGTATTTTGGGTCCATCCCTTAAAAAAAGTCTTATTTGAAGATCAGCCTAAAGGAGCCTCTTGTGTCACATCGTTTAAGTAACAAAACCCAACATTTGTTGAATACTTACTATTTGCTATACTTGGTACCAAAGGTTTCATGTAATTTTTTCATTTAGTGTCATTTTCTAATAATGTGTATATTCTGGGAGAGGAGAAGGGAGATAGATGACACCCAACATTTGTAGTCTGATATAATTTTCTCTCCACTGGAAGAGGATCTACTGAAAGTAGTGTCATGGTCTGTCTTGTATCTCTGGTGCCCTGCACACAGAAAATGCTCAATAACTATTTCCTGAAGCCACATTGAATGAATGTTGAATATTTCATATAATTTCCTTTGGATGACATTTAGAGACAAAACTTAATTCTATGATAGTCCACAAACTTGAATAAAAGAAAAGAGAACTGTTACCATATAAAACTCCACAATCAGAAGTTCTCCATGAAAAACAAAGTAGGCAGATGCCATACGATGGAAGGCCTCATGGGTCCCACAGGAGAATTTTGGAGATAGAGAATGATTAAAGTACCTGGAAATAATGTGGCTCAATTTGCCTGCTAGGAGGGTCTGTCTGGAAGCAGTGTGCAGAGTGGAGTTGACCAGTACAGAACCAGAGGTAGGCTGATTGCTACTTGTCTGATCATCAGAACCTCCTGCAAAATATTATAAAACACAGATTCCCAGGCTCTAGCCTATATCTACTGAATAGGCTCTCTGACGGGTGCCCAGGAGTCTGTACTTTTTATAAAGTTCCCCAGGTGACTCCTATCAGCCAGGTCTGTGAATCCTGGGATCTGATTACTGTAGTATTCCTGATGAGAGAATGAAGGTCTGCCCCAGTGCTCAGCAGTAATTTCCTCTAATGTTGCTTGAATAGACTGTCTTTCAGGGTTACATTGTGACTCAAAGATGAGAAGATAACATAAGGACGGTGTATAAGATAATTAAAGGCCAGCATTAAGGATGAAACTCATACATCCATTATTGGTCTTACCTGCTCTGTGTCTTTGTTTATCCTAGTCCATCTTTGGAGAGCAAAGACCACCAACAGGTACCAGAAATCCAAGAGGAAGAACACAACAAAGAGAGATTAGATGAAAGTGAAGACGACCTGGAATTCTGGAATAAGCCCTCTTTGTTTACTCCTGAATCTAGATTGGAAACTCTTCGACATATGGAAAAGCAACGGGAAAAACAAGAAAAATTCAGGTGGTTTTTTCCTTATCTTTTTTTTCCCCAAGAAAGTAAGGCACTCTCTTATGCACTATATTTTCACAATTGCCCATGATTTTACACATTATTCGTACTAAACCTTGGTTAGCATCCTATATAGATTTTGCTTTTTCAAAGTACAGCTTTTTATTGAATTGTGTTGGCTAACATTTATTAATCTCAAAGTGCCTTCTTTAGAACGTTATGACATTTTAGGTAGGGCTTTGTTTGTTTATATATCTTTAGCTTTTTAACCACTTTAAATATATCTAGCAATAATGTGGTGTAGGTTAGAAATATCAGTTATCATGGCATAAAGAAAGAGGTCATTTTGTGGGATGAATGTTCTCCTTTGAGTCTGTTCTATTCATTTGCAAAATGAAGAATTAGAAATTAATTTCATTGGGCATTTTATTTTCCTAATACCACTCTCCTGGACATTTGACAGTATGATTTTACTTGGGTTTTCTTAGATATAATTTGATGATTTTTGGAAGCTAGGATGCTTAAGCTATTATTTCCAGAGTAGCTTTTTCAAAGATAAGCTTTGTGTCATTTCATTTCATGTCATTGCTTAAGTCTAGTGCATAAAATGTATTATCACTTATGGGAATACTTATTATTCATGGGCTTGGGAATGTGATCAATTAGCTCTGAAATACAGTAATCTGCATGGCAATGACTAAAATGGAACAAAACACAATATCTCTCCCTGTGATTATCAATGAAAAGCAAGAAACTAAAAGAGTAGTAAAACCATTTGAACTCTGCTACTTTCCTAAAATTTTCTTCATTAATTAGAAAGATAGGGAGGTGCAACAATCAAAAATCGAATTTTATCTAAAACACTTGTTTATAAAATGTGGTGGTTTGTACACTGAGAGTCCACACATTGCTTTGTAAAAAGCATCGCATAACATTAGCAACTACGTATTCATGTCTTAACTCTGCTGTTACCCGCTTTGTGATGTTGGCAAGGACCTACCTTCTCCCCATCTGTTTCCTCATCTTTTAAACAGAGATTGATTATCTACCTGTCTTACCTAATCTACTGTATTGTTAAGAAAAATCAGATGAGCCAACACATGAAAAAATGCTTTGTAGACTCAAGAATCCCTTGGAATGGAGGTTTTACATGTTTATAGAACATGTATTATTTCTTTTTAAAAAAATTTTTTTATTTTAAAATTGTGGGGTACAATTCAGGGTTAGGTATACAAATATTCATTGTTCAGGTACCCTTGATGATGAGGTGTGCTCCTTCCTTTCCCAGGCAGTTTCCCAATACTGCCGATTCCACCTCCCCACCGCGCGCCCCACACCCCCACAGTTTCCTGCTACTGTCCATCCTTTTCTTATAGTATTACGATAGTTGTTCAAGGTTCGCTTATGAGTGAGAACATGTGATACTCAGTTTGTTGTTTCTGTGAAAGATCACTCAGTATTATAGACTCTAAGTCCATCCAGGTTGCTGCGAAGTTCATGATTTTAGAACATGTATTATTTCTAACATATGTACCCATATACACATGTCCAGTATGTATGTATTGTGCGTAAACCATCTATAATCTATAATTGTACTGAGCCTGAAATTGGGAGAAATGTTTCTTTTCCCCTCCCTGACACCCAAAAAACTAAGGCTGAATTGGATACAGGTGTAAGTCCCTCTGTTCACTGTGCCTTAGTCTGCCCACTCCAGTGGGTCCCTGAGATATTTGCCTCTTTGATTGTTTATCAGTTATTATTTATTGTTAGCCATTTTCATTCACTAGGAGAGCGCAGGGACGAGAGCAATCTTTTGCTCCTGACTCTGATCTTATCTGCCCCGGCTAGGGTGAAGGCAAGTACATCTGGATGCCCCCTAATTGTCCTGGGCTATTGAAATAGTAACTTAATTAGATCTGAAGGCCCAATTTAAGATGCAGAACAATGTGAATGACTTTTTAAAAAATAGAGTTCACTGGCACAAAATGTATATTAATAGTATAATAGAATTTTAAGGCAAATAATCACCTACAATGGCATCATCTAAACAAACGTACATTTGATTGTCTTGATCTTGTCCATATAGGCCTATTTACATTTTTATTTATTTTAATGTTTTAAATAGAATTTACATGTGCCTTTTAATTCACATCATTTCATGAATCTTCTCCTCTTTGCTTCCTTTTTTTTCTCCTTTCCAGCCCTTCAATAGAATAATAGTGACAGGCTTGGGCTATTTTTTTTTTTACCCTTTGTAATTCTATAAATTATCTCTGCACATGTAGAATTTGGGTTTTTTTAAAACAAAAATTGACTTATAGTTTATATCTTGGTTCTCATTAAATACATTATCAACACTTTTTTAGATCAGTAGGTAAAGAACAAACACATTTTTTAATGGCTGCAAAATATTTCATAGGGTGAATAAAGCACAGTTGATCCAATCATTCCTTCATTGACAAACATTCACACGGTTCCAAGGTTTTGCCACTACAAATAGTGCCATGAGAAATATTCCTTATATTATATGGATTCTTATGTGCTGGTCATTTTCATTCTATTGAATAGACTCTACTTGGTATTTTAAAGATTGTAATTTTAACCAAAGTAAATTTGTAACTTCTCTATACACAAATGGAGAATTGACAGTTATCAGGGTAAATCATGCATAAAATAGACTCATTTAAATATCTGAGGATAGTTCAAGAAAAGGAGTTTTCTTCTTTCATTCAAATTATCTGGCAAATTGCCTTGGTCACATTTTTAGATAGAGATACAACCATATAAAAGAAATCTGGCTTGTTGTCATTTCTCAGCATAGAATGAAAAGGAGTGGAATTCATAACAATGAATTGTTGATAAATTCACAACAGTCTGATTAATTGTTCTTAAAATTGTTTCACAAAAATATATTAATTACTTTTATGTTCTCTTTGCTTATTTTCCCTCCCTGCACTGCCCCTTGTTCTCACCCACCATCCATCTTAAGTGAAAAAAAGAAGAAAGTGAAACCACCCAGGACTTTGATCAGTGCAGATGGGAGAGCCCTGAATGTGAATGAGCCCAAGTACGTGAGAAGCACAACTGGTGTTGGTCAGTGTTGTTTCAATTCCAGGTGTGCTCTGCAAAGAATGTATCTGACTGCTCTCAACAAGTTTGATGACTTTAGTAATAATGACATTTTGTTCTTCTTTAAGAGTAAGATATCTATTATGTTTTCAAGTACATAATTTTCTTGACATCCAGGAAATAGTCTTGACATATGAAAATCTTATTTATGTATCCCATGATACTTATACTTTGGACCCTATACAGCTCTATGCCTGAATTGCCACTACATTCTTGCTGTGTTGATGAATTTTTAAAAGTCTGCCATGAACGAGGTGTTTGAGAATACTGTTACATCTCCTTTACATCTGCTATATACTCTAGAACACGTCTACAGAGCACTCGAGAGCTCCGGAAATAAATCAATATAAATGCTTCAATGAATTGAATGAGAGGAAAACACTGGAAATCCTCAAGTATGCTAATATCTGATCTACCCTCTCTGTTTATCTTAAAGTTTAAAACTAGAAAGCAAGCCAGAAAGGCCTTTGGTAGCCAGAACATATAACGAAGAGCCTATGGACTAAATCTCATTCACTGTATTTGAGTACTTGTTTAACTTGCTGTGTCATTACCATGGTTAAGGCACTGTCTTGCATTACTCCTGGGTGTCATTCATCTTCACAGCAATCAGGGGTGACAGGCAGTATGTCTTTTTTACAGAGCCAGGACCTGGGCCTGAGAGAGGTGAAGTGACTTACCCAAGGTCACGTAGCTAATAGGTGGTATGGTTGACTTGTTCATGCTAAGCCAGTTCTAGTGATTTCCATGATTAAGTTTATAATCTCACCCCCACCCCCATGCACACACATTCAGCAGACAGGGATGCAGCACAAGACACTTGGCTAGGCACTGGGAACATAACAGTGGATGGGACAGGGTTCTTTCTGCTCTCATGGAGTTTAAAAATCTAGGAGATTAAAAATCTAAGGAGACCATCTCTCCTTAGCCTACAACAGGGCTCACAGGAGGCCCCCAGAGATCCATGTGCCCCTGTTTAGACCACCATTCCTCTCACCATCATGTTGAACACCTCTCCTCTCCTAAAACCGGTTCTGCTTCAGGAGATTCTCTGAAGAGGTGATGACCCACCACCTCCCCACTACTGCCTTCTCTTACTATGTGTTCCCCCACCCCAGGTCATTCTCTGTCATCTGGAATCTGATTCCCATGTGGCACTAATCCAACTCATTCTCACCCCTCCTGGACTCCCGCCCTTTCCACTGTGCCCTCCGAAGCTTGAACTTGGTCAACACAACCTGAATCCTCCACCTTTTCTTTCATGAATTGAAGCTAAGGATCCCCTGCCCTCTGTTCTTTCTTACCACATATGCCACAGGGATAGTTACATCCAAGAGTCACTTTCAGGCCATCTTTCTCCCTCTTCATCTGGATACAGCTCTTTCTTCCTGCAGCCATCTACGTCACCTGACCACCCTCACCCCTCCACCCCTCTCAGTTCCTTGAAGAGCTCGCACCCACACCAGTGTCTCTCTCTGCCTCCCATCATACGTGTAGGCAGTCCACCAAAAGCCCTGGTCTCTCAGGTCCACAGCCACCTCACTTCCAACCTCTTTTTCTCGACCTCAGCTGAGCCACACAATTTCATTTTTATTCTTATATCTGCCACCATCAGAATCCTCACCTCGAGTGTCTCACTGGGTCCCATCTCCTGGGATCCCAGGGTGGGGGGACTCCCTCCATTCCAAATATCACGTGCCCCCGCTAAGACCATGAGTTATTTCACCCACTGTCCCCCACCCCTCGTATTCCCACCTTCTGTCACCCTGCTTTGGTTACATAGTTCATCACAGAAATCAGTCCTTGGCATACCTCTTCAGCTGTCTTGTCCTTTTTTCCTCTCATCATCCTTACCTCACAAAACCCCAATGCTATTTAAACCTAGCATGCTACCCTCTCCTGGGCTGCCCTCCCATGCGGCTGACACAAGCTGGTTTTCATGTAAGTTGAAGGCCACAGATCTCATGTGGACCCTCCCCATCTTCCTATATTTTCTCCCCGCCCTCTGCTGTAGCCGCTCTCACACCTTTTCTGCACTTCTTACCTCCAGCACCATCTGATGCTCCCAAGGTCTTAACTGAGGACTTTGTTTCTTATTTCACTGAGAAAACAGGAGCAATCTGGAGTTTTCTTTTCCTTCCAAGACCAATTCACCAGCATGCCTGGGCCTGTCCTACCTACTCCCTTCTCTCCTGCTGCTGTGGATGAACTTCCTATCATAAATCAGTCTCTGCTCACACCCCGATCCACCCCATTTCCCATCAAGGACTTGGCTTCTCAGTGACTTCCAGTCTTCTGCATCAGTTCTGTCCACTCTGCTTGATCAAGCTTGTCTGCCTACAAACACAGTAAAAACCTCCATCTTAAGAGAAATGAAAACAAACACCTCCCTTCCCCTGTCGCCCTTCCAAACTAGTTCTTTTTCTCTGTTCCTAATTAATAGCTAGAATTCTGAATGGCCTTGTTGGCACTCAGTCTCCAATTTCTCACTTCATATTCCTTCTTGAAACCACTACTGTGTACTCCGTCATTCCGAAACAGCTTTAGTCACATAATGTCTACATTGAGTGTTCAAATCCCAGGCCGTCTCTTACTTGATTTAGCAGACTTGGATCCAGTTGATCATTACCGTCTTTCTTAAAGCAGTATCTTCCCTTTGCCCTTTCGTCTGCCTTACTGGCTGCTCATTTTTTTCATGCTTTAATGGATCCTTTCTGTTTTGTTTTTTTGAGTGCTCTGGGGCAAACTCCTTAGCTGTCCTTTCATATTCACTCTTTAGGGATGTCACCAAATCCAGCCTCCTCCTTGAGCTCAAACTTGTATATTTAATTAGCTATTTGACATCACTGTGTAGGTATAAAATAGTTACTGCAGGCCAGGATCGGTGGCTCAGCCTGTAATTCCAGCACTTTGGGAGACCGAGGTGAGTGGATCACCTGAGCCTGCAGGTTCGAGACCCACCTGGGTAAATTGGCGAGCCCTCATCTCTACAATAAATAAAAATTTAGCCGGGTGTGGTAGTGTGCACCTGTAGTTCCGGCTACTTGGAAGGCTGAGGTGGAAGGATCACTGGAGCCCAGCAGGTCAAGGCTCTGGCGGCCGGGAGCGTGCCACTGTACTCTAGTCTGGGTGACAGAGACTCCAACTCAGAATAACAACAACAAAAATAGTTACTCCAAACTTATCATGATGAAAACAGCACGCCTGTGTCCCTGTGCTCTCCATCTCAGTAACAAGCACCTGCCCATTGGTAAGAGCAAAAAATCCTTGGCTGTGTACTTGATTCTTCTCTCTAATTTTGTCAGCAATCCCTATGAGCCTTTTCTTCAATATCTTCGGAAGTCAGTCGCCTCTCACTGACTCCCTCATCCCCACCTTAGAGCTACGAGCTTCATCCCCACCTTAGAGCTACGAGCTCTGCATCTTTCAACTGTACCCTGAGACTGAACTCTAGGTGTGACTTCCATACTATCTACACATGAGAGGGGCCAACACTACCTCTTGCCTGGGCAACTGCAATTGCTTGTTACACAGTCTCCATGGTTCATCTGTGGCCTCCAAGAATCTACTCTACTCAGCTGAATAAAGAAGAAGGAACAGCAGAAAGGACACATTTCTTTTCTTAATGAACATTCCTGGAAAGAGCCATCTAACAAGTTTCCTCACATGACCTCACCTAGCTGCAAGAGAGGCCTGGCAATGCAGTCTTTATTCTACATAGCCTAGTTAGAATCATGGCTGTCATTACTATAGCCTAGAAAGGGAGCAGATAATGGGGAATGAGCAGCAATCTTTGCCATAGAAAACCTCTCAGAAATTACTTTTCAGATGATGTATGAAGTCAGAATTCAAGTTGGCTGACTAGAGAGTTGGGGAATAAGCAAACAAGGCAGGGGGGTAGTGCATAAGAAGGCTCCTAAGAAGAGATTTTAAAAATGCATGGGTCATTTGAAACACTAAAGAAGTCCCATGCGGTCGTATGGGTGGGAACCATGACACAGAACCTACCACAAGCCAGCCAAAGCTATCGCTGACTTTACATTTTTCCAAACAGTTTTGCATATGTTCTCTAATAGTTTGGGGTTATATATTTTATGGAATAATATAGTTAGTGAAATTCTCAAAAGAAAATTGGCCAGGTAATTCTGTGTTGATAGGAGCCAGACCTAGGGCTCAGCCTCGGGGTATAGTTAAAAAATGCAGAGCATTGAAATCGTGTTGACCCAGGCTCATGCAGCCTCTTTCCTGGTGATTCCAACCTCTCCCTCTCTGAACCTCTGTTCCTTCATCTATAAAAGAGGTCTTAGATAATGGACAGTGTCTCAACCTTTACCAGGGTGATGGAAGGATCAGCAATGAAAGGAGAAGAAAAAAGGAAGAGGGGACTGTTTAAAACTTAAGGAGCAGGATGTTGGAGAAAGATGAGGCACCAACACCCTTGAGGTCTCCATGCATAAATAATACCAGTGTTTGTTTGCTTCTAGCAAACTCCCATGAAATGGAAAAGAAAACTTCAGCCACCAGATGTCTCTATCTCTGCACCAAAGCTAATTTCTTGTATGTAGTTTGCCATAAGATGCTCACATCTAAACAATGTAAACACAAATCATTTATTAATATGCCATAGGCTTCTGTTGGAATTTTAAACTTAACATTGACATTTGATTGCCCAGCTACCAAAATAAGTTTGTTGTTAGAGATTGTGTTATATAATGCTCTCAAATTTGTTTTTGATTTTGTGATGGGGTCAACTATATAGTATCCTAAAGATATCACCCCCCCATGCATTATTTTTAGAATTGACTTCTCTCTGAAAGATGATGAAAAACGTAACCAGATCATCCTGGACCTTGCTGTCTATAGGTAAAGACATTCCACTGTGTATTTATTGAATGGCATTTCTGTCTGTTTTTATTCTCATTAGCACTCTGTTGAGTTCGGAAACATTTTGAAATGGAATTTGGTTTGCCCTGTAGTTACATGAAGTGGCTTTTTTTAAAAGACAGAGAACTTACTGTACTTTTTAAAAGCATGAAAATGAAAGGAAAAGTAAATAAACCCACAGTTTCATGGTTGTGAACTCAGGAATATCTGTGGCAGAGTTGAAATAGTTCTCAGAACTGTGCTGTTTTCTGGTGCTGATACCACAAGGACCACCTTGCTCTCTGCTGTAACATTCCTCTGTGTTTTTCCCAATGTGCTTTGGTGTTCTAACACACATCAGTTTCCTTTTCTGGTCCCATCTGAGAGACCTGGGAAGACCCCTAGCAGCCTCCTTGGCAAAGGCAGACACTTCTTCCCTGCAACCCTCTTCCACCATGACTGGCCTGTCTCCCTCACCTTGTTACAGTGGGTGGGAAGGGCAGAAGCCTCCCGCTTGCCCTCATCATCACGTGCAGTTGCTATCTCCCTCTGTTCCTAAAACTCTAATGGCTTTGACACCCCCTCAGCCGATACTACCTTCTGCCCTTTGTGGAAGACATTTAAAGACACCAGGTCACTCTGCCTCAATCCTTGGAGATACTACATTCTGGCTCACGATCCTGACATCCTTCTGATGACCTCAGTGTCCACTTGCACCACTCAGCGGCCACTTGCACCACTCAGCGGCCACTTGCACGTGCTTTCCTCTGCCTGTATCGCTCTCACCCGAGGTGTCCTTGTGACTTGCTGCCCTACGCCTCGGTTCAAGTGTCACCTTATTGGAGGGGCCTCTCTGCCCCACCATCCATCATAAAGCAGTGCCTTCCCTGTCCCAGCACTCCCCATCTCCCTGCATTTTGGTTTCCTTCTGACAAAATACAGATTTTCCTGCATTCTTAAAAATGTGTAGTCAAAGCAGAAACTTTATGATATTAGTTCTTTCCCATTTTTGTCTCTAGCACCTAAAATAGTACCTGGCACCTGTTAGGTCCCCACTAAATACAAGAATGAATGAATTTTGATCATGGGAGTATGACATCTATAGGCATGAGTGAATGGGTGAACATTAACATTCATTAATTATAATTAGTGCCTTTCTCTTTTTAATAGCTTTATATGCTTTATTTTATTTAATCTCTCAGTAGCCCTGGGAGGTGGGGGAAATTATTCTCCTGGAATTGCCCAAAAGGGGATAAACTTTCAGAGGGTAAGTCTTGTCAGAGCAAAACATGATTGGGGGAGCCAGAGTTTAAGCTCAGGCTTTCATCCAACTTTACTTTTTCAGTTGTAGTAAAATACATATAACTTAAAATTCACCATTTTAATCATTTTAAAGTATACAACTTAGTGGCATTTAGTAAGTTCACAGTGTCGTGCAACCATTACCACTGTCTCGTTCCAGAAAACTTTTAACATACCTAAAGGAGACTCCATGCTCATTAATCACTCAGCCCTCATTCTCCTTCCCCATGGCAACCACTAATCTGTTTTCTCTACATACAGATAGGTCTATTTGGGCTATTTCACATAAATGGAACCACACAATGTGTGGCCTTTGTGTCTGTCTGGCTTCTTTCCCTTACCATAATGTCTTTAAGGCTCATCCACGTGGTAACATGTGTCATCTTTTCCCTTTTAATGGCCAAATAATATTCCATTGCCTGGATATACCACATTTTATGTATCCATTCGTCAGTGATGGGCTTTTGACTTATTTCTACCTTGGTTCTTATGTCTCAGGACTAGCCTAGAGTATGGCCCCTTCCTCCCCGCACTGAGCCATCTCCGGTCAGCTGTGTGTCATTCCATACCTCAGATCAGTTCTTCACACTTGCTGCAGGTCACCTGCCTCTAAAAAGCTTCTAGCTTCTCTGTTCCTCTAGTTTCCCGAGATGCCCTTTCTGACATTTTAGAGTCATTCACTGTTTCATTCTGTTAAGTCCTTTCCATTTTTAGGCCCTATTTCCTGAGTATAACGAATGTGCAACCCTCTCTATTTCAGCTCTGTTGGCTGCTTCCCATTCAGTCCCCAAAGGGACACATACCTCATCCTCATGCATGTGAATTTTAAGGGGTAGTGGTATTTCTCCTGTCTATGTAATAAAACCCCTCCATCCTCCTGAATCTGTCTAAATGAATTACACTAAAATTCCAGATTATCTTTGTTGGCACCTGGGTGTATAAGCAAAAGTTAAACTCATTCATGTATGTATGTTTCCTGCTGCCTTTATTCAACAAATAGAATACCTACTATATGCCAGGCACGGGGAGACTGTAACTGGAGCCTTCTAAACACAGTGGCCACTCTTCTACAGCCCAGTTATGGGGTTGATCAAACAACAAATTGTCAGGCATCTAATAAATAATTACAAAGGGGAAAGAGTGCCGTCAACAAAAGGGACAGTGTTCAGGCATGGGGAATTATGGTGTGTGACTGGTGGTGGCGTTGTGGGGTGGTCAGGGAAAGGTGGCGACATGAACAATGAAAACGGAAGAATGATAAGTAGCTTTTCTGCAAAGAGCTGGCAGAAGATGGCTTCAGGCAGATAAAGGCCTTGCAAGTGGGGACAGGCGAACACTTTAAAGAATATGTCATCCATTAAACTGGTAGATATTACCCATTTAAAGATATTTGTAGAAAAGTCTTTATTTTGCATTATTTATTACATTTATTTTTATTATTTAATAAATTTATTATTTATAAAATTTATTTAAATTTTTGTTAAATAACATAATGATGCTTTATTAACACTAATTATTTACTAGGCACTATGCATGTGCTTTCATCACAATCATAGGGTATAGGTACTATTAGTATTCTTGTTTTACAGATGAGGAAACTGAGACTTAAAGAGTTTCAGGAATGTGGTCCCAGGTAATACAGCAGGAAAGAGTAGCGTCAGTTTCCCCCAACTCTGCGTGACCCCAAAGTCTGAGCCTGTAACCCTGTATAGCTAACCCGCCTTCTACTAGTTATGGTCTCCCCATGCTTGGTACATAGTGGGTATTCTATAGATATTTGTTAAATAAAGGCAGGAAGCATATGTAAATACATACATTTACCTTCCCCATATATACCATGTGCCAATAAAGATCATCTGGAATTTTAGCGTAATGATTCTGTGATTTTTAAATCAGCACCACATTTTCTTTTTTAAAAAATTGTTTTATTATTTCGATTTTAAAGATGTGGGGTACAATTCGGGGTTAGGTATACAAATGTTCATTATGCAGATATCCTTGTTGATGAGGTGTGCCCCTCCCTCCCCTGGCAGTTTCCCTCAACTGCCAATTCCCCCTCCCTGCCCCGGCAGTTTCCCACTACTGCCAGTCTTGGGTGGATTTACAGTTTACCATATTCAGTAATCTATCACAGCACTGCATTTTCTAGTGCTCATCATTAGTTTTTAAAATATACAAAAATAATCATTTGGTTAAAGCGATGTGACATCTAAAGCTTCCATTTGCTTGTGAGTCGTGGAGGATACTTGCTGCCTGATCCTATGGTCACTGTCATACACAAAAGACTTTGCTTATTCAGCGGGATGTGCCCTCAGGGGAGGGGAAGGCTGATCTTCCAGGAGTGGGGGCTATCAGGGCAGCTGCAGAACAGCTGCAGGGGACTCAGCCGCCAAGGAAGCGGGAGCTGGTGGTTGCAGGCCCAACTGGGGAAGATTCAACATTCCTGGCTATTCAAGTTTTAGGGGCTTAAAATAAAATATTCATGAAAGAACATGGCAAGCTGTTTTCTGCAAACCTCTGGTGTTTCAGACCTCAGATATTTTTGGGTTAGGGGCAATCAATGCCAAGTGTACTTGTGGGTCTAAAAATGAAATTGCTGATAGATTGAATTTCCTTTGGTCTAGGGATTAATTTAAGACTAATTTTTAAAGACATGTTTAGCATGGGAATTTTAAACTGTCTTCATTTAAAATGGCCCTGTAAGCGAACATCTGTATTTGCACGTCTTCAATCTTACCGGTTTTGAAAATGTCAAGATTTTGTGTGTTTGGTTTTGAAGATACATGGATACCTCATTGATCGATGTTGATGTACAGCCAACTTACGTGCGAGTAATGGTCAAAGGAAAGGTAAGCAGTACTCTGTAGATTACTACAGCTTCCAAGCTAGGCCTTGAACTAAGCTGTGTGGCCTCAAGTTCTCCAAAAGTGGTATTCAAATAGAAGAAGGGAAACCCATCCAGAGTACTAGTTTTTAGACACATGGCTTTATGTCTAAAACTATATATCTATCACAGCACTGCATTTTCTAGTGCTCATCATTAGTTTTTAAAATATACAAAAATAATCATTTGGCTAAAGCGATGTGACATCTAAAGCTTCTATTTGCTTGTGAGTCGAGGAGGATACTTGCTGCCTGATCCCAGGGTATACAGTGGAAACAACTTCATGGAATTCTGTAGCTTCATAGCATTAATATTTTAAACCTGTGTTGATTTTGCCATACTTGTTTCAAAGCTGACAACATGATAGTATATGTGGTAGCCTATGTGTAAAGTTAAATAGTATACTTTTTAAAAATTGTCAATGATTTCATTGATAGCAGCAATAATTTTAAAATTATTTAAACTGTTAATCATTTTTGAAATACTGGGGTTTTTTTTTTGCTGACTCTGAGTATTCATATGTGTTAGTTTGAAAATTTTTAAATGAAAATATGTTGCTGTTTTATGACAAGATGTTTTATCCACAAATTACTTTTTAGCCATAAATAGACCTGTGTTTCACTGTTTGTGATTGATGACTGTTCCTTAGACTATTTGTTAAAACATGAGAACAGTTCATATATCTCAAGCATAGCACATATATTGTTTTTTCCTAACACATTTAAGCACATTTTTGAATTGAATTTGTAATGAATATACCCCTTGAAGTAACTCTCTCATGTAATGTGTCCTTTCTCTTGATGAAGCTTTCTGCTTATTTTCAGCCATTTCAGCTTGTCCTTCCCGCAGAAGTCAAACCTGATAGCAGCTCTGCTAAAAGATCTCAGACAACGGGGCATTTGGTCATCTGCATGCCCAAGGTAGGTAATGTCATTTGGATCAATTTCAAATCTGGATATGTTGCTTCCTGATGAAACTTGACCTGTCAGGGCTAATGATGACTTCTGACCAAGGTACTTTTATAGTTGAAAGATTAGGAAATCTACTCACACCAGCTCAGGTGGAGATCAAAGGCCTTGTGAGAGCAAAGAACTCCGACAGGGGTGTGTGCGGTGGTTCATCCTTCCCTGAAAGAACTGAAGGAATTTAAACTTTAAAAACATTAATGTGTCCCTATGAAGTATCTGGATTCCTTGTCATGGACCATATGAGTGAGTTAGGATGTTTCCTGCTGTAAGCTGCAGAAATCCCAAATGATACTGGTTTTAGCCATAGAAAAATGTTTCATCTCTTATAACAAGGTAGAGGAAGGTAGGGAAGGTCCCAGGCAGGTAGGGTCAGGGTCTTTTTGGTATGTCAGCTTTGTCCTCAGACGGGCTTCCTCCTCTGACATATGCCCTAGAAGTAACTTGGGCAACATACTTCCTTGCTTTTACCCTGTGTGCAATAGAGGATCAGAGAAAGAGACACAGAGAGACAATCTCTCTCATCACCATGGAATAAAAGTTCCTCTGGACAGATTAGGTCAATTGAGCTGGAGAGCCCACCAATCTCTGCCAAAGGTATGGTAGCACAGTCAGTTCTCTGTAACTGTGGGCTCAGCATTTGTGAATTCAGCCAGCCTGGGATCAAAAATGTTCAGGAAAAAAAAACTGCATCTGTATTGAACAGTGTTCAGACTTTTTTACTTGTCATTATTCCCTAAACAATATATTGTAATAGGTATTTACATAGCATTTATGTTGTATTAGATATTATAAGTAACCTAGGAATGATTTAAAGTATAAGGGAGGATGTATGTAGGTTATATGCAAATATTGCACCATTTTCTATCAGAGACAAGTGCATCCATGGATCTTGGTAACTGCAGAAGGTTCTGGAATCAAGTCCCCATGGATACTGAGGGCTGACTGTACTTTGCCGGGTTCATCGTATCTCATCCTATGAGCTTGGGGTTAGGTCGGCTTTGCCCAAGTCACCTAGATTTCAAAGGAGAAGAATAAATAAACCAGTCAAAATGTGGTTCTGCAGACAAGGAAAAAAAGGAGGATGTTGGGAGGAGTAGGGTGAGCTTGATTAATCAATAAGACCTCTATAATGATTTAATAATCCTGCATTTTCCTGTAGCCAATTTCCAACAGATTGATTATAAGTAATCAATGATATATTTTTACTGTGAGGGAATAAAACAGCAAATACAATGTGTTGTCAAGCAGTAAAATAACAAACACAACTGTATGAATTGCATTATCCTTGATGACTATGACAAATTAAGGAAATGCTTCCATAGAATTAGAATATCCTACATGGAAATCTAAGAGATAAGTTAATGATTTCAGCACTTTGGCATAGACATCTGTACTATACTATGATCAGCAGCATCGGCAGCCTTTTTCTTTTTTTGAGACTCTAGCTGAAAAGCCAAAGATGACATAGGAACTGTGCTTATTCCTGAAAGGAAATCAAGACATATGAGTTGTGTACCTTTTGCAGGGTGCCAGAGAATTGATGAGAAAACCTCTCCTGTCACTGCTTGCGAATCTTAAATAAATACAACATTCTGCTTCCATTTCCCTTTTTGTTTTTATGCCTACATTTTATTAAAAACACATGAAAACAATAATAAATGACCTACTAAGGAGAAAGCATTTTAGAAGTGCTTGGTTGAAGATGAGATAATTTGTATAGAAGAACTAGGAATTGTCTTATTTTTGTCCTCATTAATAAACTATGATAACATTTTCCCTTGAAGGATATATTTTTAAGATTTGTAGAACACTATGTTAAAGTAACAATAATGTAGATGTTCATTATCTTCTATCGTTATTCATTTGAAAAGGCAAATAATAAAAACACACTTTGGACAATATTTGTGTAGTTATATGTTAGGACTACAAAACTCTAACAATAAGATAGTTTCCTTAAAAATTACCAAAAGATGAAAAACAAAACTCTAACTTCATTTTTACTTCTATTAAAAATGTGTATGCCTGAAAATCAACATCTTCATAATTCCTATTGGTTAAAATATTTTAAGTCCTGAAGTTTACTTCACTGAGCTATTCTGCATTAGCCTAAACATACTAACTTACTGTGGAACTGTGTCGGTCTGACATGCATTAAAATTACTGAGGAAAATTTTTGGAATTTTAAAAAATATTGTAAGAATCAGCCTAAGTGTCCATTATTGAGCAACTTGATAAAGAAACAATGATATATTTGTGTGTATAAAATGGAATAATATTTAGCCCTAAAAAGTATGAGATTTTGCCATTTGTCACAACATGGATGAACCTGGATGACATTGTGCTATGTGAAACAAGCCAGACACAGAAAGAAAAATACTGCATGATGTCACTTGCATGTGGAATCTTTAAAGAGAAAAAAACAGTGGTTATCAGGGACAAGGGAGGATAATGGGGGAGGACATGGGGAGATGTAGGCTAAAGGATACAGTGTAGCAGATATACAGGATACCAGAATCCGAGATCTAATATACAGCTTGATTACTGTAGCTAATAGAACTGTGCTGTATTTTGGATTCCTGCTGAATGAGTAGATTTTAGCTGATCTTACCACCAAGATAAACAAAAACTTGGTAACTATGTGAGATGATGGATATGTTAGTTTACTTCACCATGGTAAACTTTTTAATGTCTAAGTGTATCCCATAACATCATGCCATAACCCTTAAATGTACACAATAACATTTATCTTTTTAAAATAAAGCTGTATAATTAGGATGCCTTTGGCTTCAAATAACAGAAAACTCTGGCTCCAAATGGTTAAGATAATAAGGAAAAATATATTACCTCACCTAAGAAAAAAAGAATCGGGTAGGAACTTAGGTAGAATTCAGTTCAGTCATAGTATAATATTGTCAACGTGTTAAATAATATTGGATACTTTCTAGAAATATCTAAAATACTTTTTAGTTGTTTTAATATCTGGGTACTCTACATCAATCAAAAGAGTATTAGATTTGATGTTTAGCAGTTCCCTGTCTGTGACAATATTTGTAAAGGAGCTGTGAAGGGCTGGCCTATTTGCACCTATACATGTAATGATTATATCATGTCAGTTCAGTGATGAACTTTGTATACATTTTCTAAAGACATAAAATTTGGCACTGAGTCTACAAAATACAATGATATTTCTGATTAGATATTTCATTCAGCTTTTTTTTTTTTATAATGCCAAATTGATATTTTTCTCTTTCCTTGCCCATACATGAGGCTGGATCTATACCAGCTGGGTGCTGATCAATAGGCAAGTTTCATCAGTTTAAGTCTGTTTAAGACCCCTGTCCCAGGGGTCATGGCTATATTTTATGCTGCTGACATGCCAATGGGTGTCCCCAGCTCAGCTCCTTGTTCCAGGAAGTTTCACCTTGTGCGAGTTCTGTAATCCGAGATGCTTCCAAGCATCCACCACCAAGTCTATGATACACTATGAACTGAAATAATACCCAGATGTGTCATATTCCCTAGCACGCATCCAGGATGCCTGTCTCCCTTCACCATTTTTACATTTTGACTCATAGGTACCAGTGTTCTCAGAAACCATCTCCCACCCTACCTCCTCTACCATCTTCTCAGGGGAGGCTTCTAGGCTGGAAGTGGCAAGGGGGTAATAGATGAAGAGCTTCTCTGGCTATCTCCTAAATGCAGCTTCAGGCAGCTGAAATGGAACACCTGCAGAGAACCCTTGCATGAATGGAGCTTGCAGACCTAGGGGCTGCTTTGGGGGAGTCGGTGAGTGGATCGTGACTGAATTCGAAGGCCTGGGACTACTGTACACTACTGTAGACTTTATAAACACAGTGCACTTAGGTTACACTATATTTATTTTTTTTAAGTTTTCTTTTCTCAATAATAAATTTAGCTTACCCTAACTTTCTTGCTTCATAAACTTTTTAGTTTTGCCTAATGTTTGCCTCTTTTGTAATAACACTTAGCTGAAAATACAAACACTATACAGTTGTATAAAATTATTTTCTGGCCGGGTACGGTGGCTCAAGCCTATAATCCCAGTACTTTGGGAGGCTGAGGCAAGAGGATTGCCTGAGCCCACAGGTTCAAGACCAGCCTGGGCAACATGGCAAGACCTCGTCTCTACAATATATCAAAAACTTAGCTGGGCGTGGTAGCACGTGCATGTAGTTCTGGCTGCTTGGAAGGCTGAGGAGGAAGGATCGCTGGAGCCCGGCAGGTTGGCAGTGAGCCCGGTGGCAGTGAGTGTGCCACTGCACTCCAGCCTGGGTGAAAGAGTGAGACTCCAACTCAAAAAAAAAATTTTTTTTTCTTTATATCCTTATTCTATGTCTTTTTTCTTATTTAAATTAAACTTAAAATTTTAATTAAAATTAAATTAAATTTTTTTTCTTTTAAAATTTTTTTTGTTAAAAACTAAGACTCAAACTCAGACATCGATCTAGAGTAGACCTATACAGGGTGAGGATCATCAATGTCTTCCACCTCCACTATCTTGTCCCACTGGAAGGTCTTCATGAGGCTGTCATGTCCTATTTGTTTTAATAGACAGTAGGAACACACTGTAAAATAATGATAAACAGTACGGTGCGGTGAGCACATAAGCCAGCAACATAGTCATTTATTATCGCTATCAGGTATTACGCACATGCGTAATTGTATGGACTCTGCTGTTATATGATTGGCAGGGTAGTAGGCTTGTTTACACCAGCAGGGCCACGAACACGTGAGTATTGCGTTGTGTTACTCCATGACAACAGCCTCCACGTCACTAAGCAATAAGAAGCTTTTAGCTCCATGATAGTCCTATGGGACCGCCATATATACGTGGCCCATTGTTTACAGAAACATTGTTAGGAGGCACGTGACTGTATATGTAAATCAGACAGAGTCTCTTTTCCCGTTGTTGTATTCAGAGTTAAAGGCCA